TTATCATATATACCCTATCATCTCAAAAACTATACATCATGTTAATGTTACATTGCATGTAACTTCTTCAAATATTTACAAGCAACACCCTTCCATGGTCCGCAAGCAAGATCCAAAAGAAACCAGCGGGAAATCGAATTTGACGCTTAAGTTATAGCGTCCCATACAAGACGTTTAACTGCTCTAACCATTTGACAAGAGTAAGGAATCGGAAGCCAGTGGAAGAATTCTCGACCGTAAGCTCGTATGAACCTAAAGCTGTGTATCACCAGGTTCCCAACCTCGAAATCACAAGCATACACGCTGGAATGTCTGTATGCCAGTCGGAGGCGTTGCCTCCAGGCGCACCAGTACAACCACGCCTGAATCATTTCATCCTTCCCACGAACGCCTTGCTTGAGCTCGTAAGCCGCTAATCGTTGAGACATCTTAACAGAAGCGACCTCTTCAACCGAAGATGCCAAAGAGCACCAGTCGGCGTCCTTCCTCGTACAATAGCCTGCTGGACCATTACCGCCTTCTGGTTCACTTTCCATCCCTTCAGCTTTCTGTATTGCTTGTTCATCAATACTTTCAACCCTTCTGCCTGGGTCATCGTGATTACCCTCATTGTCACATATAGCTGACCTACATTGCAACTCTACTCTCTGTTCTTCAACAAGTGCTTTTGCATTTTGCTCCAATATTCTTCTAAAAGCATCATCTACAATTTCCCGAGAACACAAGCCATCTCTCTGTATGGGCAAGTTATAATCATGGTGAAAAACCATGTCCGTAGCGTCTGTTGCTATCTCCAGTGGCCCAAAACAATAGGTAGCTGCTACATCAGAGCTTTCCTTATGGCATTCGCCGGCATTACCTAGGAGACCTTTTATTGCTCCTTCAGCGGAGCTATTCAGAGGCAATCCTACCTCTGAATAAAGTGCGCTTGACCTCTCACAGGTTTCAAAATACCCTTTACTCTGAATGGAACGTTCTTGTTCCATGCTCACGAAGCATTCCTGCGCTTCAATAAGCTTATCGAGTCTCCTAGTCTTTTGACTGTTTACCTCCCTGTCATACTCTTTCAGAGTTTCTTTCTCTAGCGAAAGGTCATGACGAGGTACAGGGTCAGTCTCACGTAAATTCAAATCGCTCCCGATGTAACTGCTTTCAGAGCACACCTCATCCACTGGTTGACTACTCTGGCTCTCAGACCACGTATATTCAGCGTTTTCCCTCTCAAGCCACTGCTGCAAATCCTCATATTCTAGTTCCAACAGTCTCTTCTTTTCGCGCATCTCTATCTCGAGCAGCCTTTTCTTTTCACGCATTTCTAGCTCAAGCTGCTCCTTCTTAGCGCGTGTCTCTCGCTCGAGCTTCTCTCTCCTAGCCCGTGTTTCTCGCTCGAACTCCTCTCTCTTAGCGTGTGTTTGCAATGCAATCTGCTGCTTTTTAGCGTCACATATCGCAGCCCGTTCCTCACGCTCCCTCTCCATCCGCTCCGCGTACCATACTCTAAACTCCGCTCCCGTCAGTCCCATTTTATCCGCCAACTCAATTAACTCCCACGTGTTCGTCATCGTGTTAACCGCGTCAAAAAAATCTACTGGAAAAACAAACGACTTTGTCCTGTCGCAGCGGACGCCAATTTGTGATGATGCAGGGTTCTTTGTTGCTGATTTGTTTTTCTCCCGGGCTGAGCCTCAGAGAGTTTTGTTAATAAGGACAAAGCCGTTCGGTTTCCAAGAAACACACAAAAAGTTTAATTGAAAAGTAAAAAGACAAAGATTCCTCACAAGACAAAACACTTAATATACAGTTGACTGGACATGACGAAACACATCTGTAAACACCCAACAAAAACGTTCAAAGTCAGTAACCAAACCTAACGTTCGAAAGGGGCTGAGTGATGGGAGTAGCGCAAGATATCTGTTCGGTCTCACCCACACGCTGAATTCCGCCGACGACGAGCAAACCGGAACGCGGTGATTCCGGCTTCAGGACGCGGGCAGGACGGGGATGAAGGAACGCTGGCTGCTGACGACACGTCGAGAAACCAGGCCGGAACGTGGTGGCTCTGGCTTTAGGAGTGTGGACCCGTCTGTGACGAGAGAACGCAGGCTGGTGGGGACGCGTCAGAGAACCAGGGTCAACCTGGCCAAGCAGCTGGGCGCACAGCTCGGGCCCGTAGCCCGACGGCTGTTGCTCGCCCGTTGGAACCAAAGTCCGCAGGCCCTGGGTAGGAGTTCAGGACCGGATGGCCACGGTCCTCTCGAGCGGGAACACGACGGCAGGAGGCCCCGGCCGGTTGAAGACCTGCAGGCTCGGGTCCTACGCCCGACGGCCCATCTTCAGCGCCCGGTCCGGTGACGACCTTCCGCTTGCACTGCCTGCCTCGAATTCCCCTTGCTCTGGTCTCCCCAGGCTCCTGCTTCAGCTCTGGCCCACTTGTCTCGTTCTCATTGGAGATACTACTGTTTCGTGGTGTCAAGCCATTGGGCCTTGAAATCTCCGTGTTCGCTGCCCATTGGATGTTTTACCTTTTGTTTACTTCACGTCCTGCCACGCATCCTCGTGCTTGACGCTCTTTAACGTCGTCATTCTTGTTTAAGCAGCACCGCACGTGCACTCTGGTATTTCTCCTTTTGTTTTTTTTTTTTCCGTGACGCGCACTTTTCGAAGGCGCGCACTTTGAACGCGCACCACACATCACAGCATGCATACTCATAAGTGTCTCGAATAGGGAAATATGCAGTTTCATCATGATACCTTCAGTAGTTCTCAAGTTACATAATGCTACGCGGTCCAATTACATGGTCTGCTCGTGGAAAGCCTAGCGCTGTAACAAAACATGCCAGGAAGCTGCGAATGGTGTTGATCTTTGCTCAAAAGAAAGCTACAGGGTATGGCACTCTCGAAATTCTTTAATAAGTTCTCTCTTTTTTTTTTTTTTAGCGAGATCATCATGGCTGCCGAAACACATTGTCAGAAACAGTGGCACGGACAAATCATCGTCTAGAAAAAAAACAGGGCCATAAAACAGAAATTGAAGATTGCTGTACCCACAAGTAGTAATCAGGGATTCAGGAAAAAAAACAGCATCAAAATCGGTCCAGTCATTCTCGTGCTACTCTTTCCACGAGCACTAGACAATATCCAAAACAGACTTGTGAGAAAAAGCCTGTCGAAGTTTTCGACAGGCTTTTTCTCGTTGGATATTGATGAAAATCGGCACAGACACTAAGAATGACCTTACAGTGCTTCCATAAAAATTTTGAAGCGATACCACAAATACTTTAGGAGAGGCAAATTTTTTCTTCATTGAACCACATGGAGGGGATGAGCATAATGTCAAAAAAAAAAAAAAAACAGTATTGAGAAAGCTGCGTTTAAAGTTTCAACTTTTCTTTACGTCTCTAAGACACCTAAAAATTGTAATCTCAGGTTTTTCTTGCGATATTTGACTTCTTTTCATGACTTACTCTTTTTCATGATTTACAAAGAACAAGTATGGATTTCAAACCAAGTTCTTTCTATGAAGGAGTGGTGTGATAGGTATGACAGAAAAGATTGTATTGAATAAAACCATATACTGAAATCATTACACATTTTTTTGTGCTGAAGTTGTAATTAGTGTAATTAAGTACTTGATTACAAATATTCACTGAACTTTGCCTTATTTGAAGAGAGGTTTATTGCATCAGAAAAATGGATCACACCATGAAGGCCTATGCCTTCTTTTCAAATAACAAAGTTATGGGCAGAAGACTGGTGGAACAGGAATTTTTAGCAGTATAATTAATGACGCGAAACGGGCATATAAAAATTCGTGCCCCTGATTCATACATGCTCTTTTGCCGCTCTAGCCGTGAAACACATCATCAAACAGCCGGTCGCGGAAACTCTAATCTACAGCAATTCATTAACCTCGGAACATTCATAGACGTTCGTGGCGATATCAAGCACGGCTCCAAGCACGTCTGAATCGCATCACAAAAGCTTATTGACGGCACTCCATATGACCGTGGGGTGCGCGGCCACGTGGACAGTGCAGCCGGCTCGTAATGCACTTGCCGGCGGCGTTCGGTGACGATGCGCGAAATGTGTAACTACGATGACAAAAAATTGGCGCGCACTACGCTTAGCATCGCATTTTCTAATGACAACGCGCGAAACTGCTAGCCGCTCTTCCTAGCAATACTTGGCAGTGAAGGGGGGGGGGGGGGGGGGGGGCGAACTTGACTGTGTTGTCCGCTGCCGATGCGTAAAATGCCCGTATGTGATTCAGAAGAGCTAGCGAATGATGTGCTACATTCCTTGCGAAGAAGCACGTCGCCAAGAGTGCGCTAGCGCGTCGTTCCTGCCCGCAGCCTCGCGGTCGGCGAAGTTAAGGCTAAAAACGACTCCGATGACGCGCGGCGCTCGTAGTAACCTGATCACGCATCCGCTTAGTGCTCGTAACTAAAGTGTAATTATATCTTAAGTGATCATCAAGCCGTGAACACGTCACGAGGTAGCGATTTTCGAGAGCCATGTCCTCGCGACGCACAAGCACCAGACGACGATCTCCCGGAGCGAGCATCGGGCCAATGGCGAGGCGAGCTGAGGCAACATGGCAGCCACGGCCAATCAAGGGCCTCAAAACGACCTTCAAACATTTGCTTTTTGTGCGCTTGTTGTTAAAGGGAGGAGCCAGCTGAGGCAGGAAAATAAACACGTAGAAATGCTCTTTCGGATGAGCCCAAGAGGCCAGCTCCCGGCCCAAGCATCGCGACGCTATAATTTTTTGAAAATCGCTGTTTTCTCGCCATTTCCAGAAAAAGTTTTGCTACCTTGGTTGGTGAAACGAATTTTCCAAAGCACTTCTGCGCGGTTTTCAGTGTATATATCTTGGAACCAGATAGAAAAAGGGTTCCAGAAACTGAGAACTTGAGTTTAAAAAAAATCGATTTTCTTGCCATTTTTCCCGATCCCAAAGCCGCGTCCCCCTTTAACAAGAGCCGACAATGCTTCCTTACCAGAAGGCTCAAACAGTGTCCCAACATCGGGCTCCTCCACAAAGCCCACTGTTAGCATCTCTTCAGTGCTGCTGGCAGGCTTGAATTCCGCAGACAGTCGGGCAAATGGTTTTCCCCTGAAATACATGACACGAGCCTATGCAAAAAGCTTCCAATTGTGCAAAGACTAACAAGAACAAACAAATAAAAAATTATATAAGACCACCGACAAGCTTTCCTCTCTTTGTCATACCTCTGATGAAATGACGTCAAATCAACCTAGATTGATGCAGCGTTCATTCGCAACTATTTTATCTCTCCCACACACTGATTCAATGGTAAGTGGTTATTCATTTAAAGCACAAAATAGATGCCATCCTGCGATATTTTAAATTTCATCGTAGGATCCCTAATAAACTGGTACTCACATTAGCATGATTCTAGTGCACCCTAAATTTGAAGGTCCTGGTAATTTTACATTAGAAAAACTCAATATCAATAAAAGTTACACTAACTTTAAGTTTCAGTCCGATTGGCTGAACAATAGCGTGTTTGTGATATGTGGGTTCCCAATAAAAATAATGAAGTGCACAAGAACAGGTTTTACTGTCAGCACAGAAACCACGGCCAATGAGAGAAAGCATTCAATTTATTCAATGCAGCAACAGTCAAGGCCACACACAGTACCTGGACAGCCGAAGCCCTTTGCCGCCCCGACGCAGGGGAGGTGTGGTGCTTCCTTGCGAGGCGGAGGGGCGCTCCTCGCTGGATGACGCTGCCCTCTGCACCAGTTTGGCCGCCCTGCGGAATGGCTGGAAGCCCAGGGTAGGCTCGAAGCGCACCAGCTTGCCCTGACCCATGGAGCGGCCTTCAGCCAGGTTGCAAAGAGCGCATACACGGTCAGACCTACATTTAGAGAAAAAATGAAAAGAGCCGTCGAGCCGTCACGGTCCATTAGATGCAGACTCCGAGAGGAACACCAATTTCCGCTTTGCAGATATTTAGCTGTTTTAGAAATCTGGCACCTATCACAATTTTGTCGCCATATTTTTTATGTGAGAAGTTACCAAGCCCAGTGGCACACTTGACAGCACAGTTTTAATAAAATTTCCTTTCTTTATTTATGCATACATGGCCCCGAACGCAGTACTCACCCTTCTGGTGAGAGCTCATCTTGCTTGTAATGTGGAGATTCTCCAAGGCCAGACTGATCGTAATGTGCTGCAGCAATCAAAGCAAGAGTACAAAGAATCACATTCATGTCACATTTAGAAGAGACAAAAATTTTAGTAACTGTTTGTAGTAACGATAGTTATAGCGCGAGAACAGAACGACGACAAAGAGACAAGAACGACACGAAGGACACGAGAGCTTCTTGTCTCTTTGTCGTCCTTCCATTCTCACGCTATAAAACTATCGTCATGTCATACCAACTACAGTCGAAACCTGCAATAACGAAACCCGGCGAGTACGAAATCCCCGCGGCAACGAAATACTTCCGGATCCCCGGCAAACGTTCATAGAAGCCCATGTATTACGTATCTCGCGGCAACGAAATGTTTTTGGACAGCGATCCCGCATTAACGAATTTTCTACAACGGTGCGGGCCTTATTTTACCCTCCCGCCAAAGGTTAACTGTCGAAAATATGTTCGTATGCGTGTTATGCGCACTCAAAATTTGTAAACGTCTGCCTTTGCCGCGCTAGCGTGGGTACCGCCATTTTTGTTTACTTAAGGGAGGACGCGGCTTTGGGATCGCAAAAAATGGCAAAAAAAATCAATTTTTTGAATATCAAGTTTTCAGTTTCTGGAACCCTTTTTCTGATTCCAAAATATCTACACTGAAAACCGCGCAGAAGTGCTTCGGAAAATTCATTTCACCCACCTAGGTAGCAAAACTTTTTCTGCAAATTGCGAGAAAACAGCGAGCTTCAAAAAATTATGGCTTCGCGATGGCGGGGCCGGGAGCCGGCTTCTTGGGCTCATCGGAAAGAGCATTTCTCCATGTTTAACTTTCCCGCCTCAGCTGGCTCCTCCCTTTAAAAACAAGCGCACAAAAAACAAATGTTTGAAGGTCGTTTCGAGGTTCTTGATTGGCTCTGGCCGCCATGTTGCCTCAGCTCGCTTTGCCATTGGCCCGATGCTCGCTCCGGGAGATCGCAGTCTGCTGCTTGTGCGTCGCGAGGACACGGCTCTCGAAAACTGCTACCGTATTTACTCGCGTAATCCTCGCACTCGCATAATTCTCGCACCCCCCACATCGCCCAACAAAAATACGATTTCCTTTTTTCCTCGAGTAATTATCGCACCCCCGAAAACTGCTGCAATAATGTCGTCTGCTCTTTCCAGCCACTGATGATGATAGCGTACGCCATCTGGTGCCATCTTTTAAGCATCAAGTGTACTATTGCACAGAGATTCAATCCAATTCAAGCCAAGCCGAAGTGGCCAGTGTGCGTTGCGGCGTGTTTTGTATGTTGTGTCGGTAATCTTGTCACATTATGAGGTGATACTGAAGCTGTACAGCTGCTTTCAAGTTGCAAGTGATAGATCATGCACTAAACAACGGCAATAGGGCCGCTGGTAGGCCCTTCGGAGTCTACGAGTTTTGTGTTCGCTACTGATGACCGCAGCTTAAAGCCACCAAGGTGCGTTGAACCTGCCGTGTGCCTAAAACTGGGATTGATGGTAAACTTTATTTCTTCAGAAGGAAACTGTGGGTGATTCTGTTAAATAGCCATCAGCCCAATACTGACATCCCACGTTTACCTTTTGAGGGCTCCTGTTGAGCGACGCCATCGCTACGCCCGCAAGCTTTGCGTACGGTATTCTAATTCTCGACTATTTGCTTCCACTTTTTGTGTCTTTAATAAATCTTGTCTTGTGTTGTATCTCTGCTTTTATTGTTGAGGTAAGTTCTAATTAGTACTTCTTAAAGCTTGCTGTAAGTTGCTGGTGTGAGAATCCCGATTTGCGGCCACTTCGTTTCCTTTTTCGCTCTGTACGTTTTCATGGAAAGTTTTCCCTGCGTGATTCTCGCACCCCCCAACTTTGCATCAGTTTTCCGGCAAAAAAAGTGCGAGGATTATGCGAGTAAATACGGTACTTCGTGACCTGTTCACGGCTCAATGATCACTTAAGATATAATTACGCTTTAGTTAGGAGCAGTAGGCGGATGCGTGATCAGGTTACTACGAGCGCGGCGCGTCATCTGAGTTGTCTTTAACCCTCACTCCGCCGACAGCGAGACTGCGGGCAGGAACGACGCGCTAGCGCACTCGAGTAAATACGGTACTTCGTGATGTGTTCACGGCTCGATGATCACTTAAGATATAATTAGGCTTTAGTTAGGAGGTAAAACTTTATTATTTAGGAGGTAAAACTTTATTAACGCTTTAGTTAGGAGCAGTAGGGGGATGCGTGATCAGGTTACTACGAGCGCGGCGCATCATCTGAGTCGTCTTTAGCCTTCACTCCGCCGACAGCGAGACTGCGGGCAGGAACGACGCGCTAGCGCACTCGTAGCGACGTGCTTCGTAGCAAGCAACGAAGCTGTAAGCGGCGGCACGGTCAGATTACTACGAGCGGGCGCGCGGTCTACGAGCGCGGCGCGTCATCGGAGTCGGCCTTAGCCCAAACTTCGCTGACAGCGAGACTGCGGGCAGGAACGACGCGGTAGCGCATCCGAAACAACCCGCGGGTTCTTTTGGATGCGCAGGACACCCTTCGCTCCTTCGGCGCACATGACGATGACGTAGCAATGGACCACTTTTTCCAGTGCGAAGGCAGAGCTTTGAAGTTGTTGCATGGCAAGGGTCGGCAAAGTAAGTTGACCGACTTCTGGCAATAAATTTTCGTTCTGCTGGCCGTATTACTGTTTTTATGTCTCATACTCGCGGCAACGAAATTCTCGCGAAAACGAAATTTTTCGGTTTCCCCGGCGATTTCGTTATTGCGGGTTTCGACTGTAGCCCAAGCTGCCACACCGCACCATCTATGTTTGTAGTACTTTCAAATGCCCAGCTTTTGCCAACGCTGGCTACAAAAAAGCAAGCATAAAAAGCTTTAAATGAAAGATGCATTAACTTGGTAAATTATTGTATTCTGAAGCAGAACTCCCAGTGCCAAATGAAGGAGAAATGAAAATGTGCTTATAATATACCAGTCTTTGTGTTAATAATGATAAAATTTGCCCATAATACTAGGTCAGTAAACGAGGCACATACCACCACCTAAAGAAAGCGAGAAATCGCGAGACCTTAGTTCATGCTCAACTTGAAAACAAAGGGGCAAGATTTCTTCACATGTATATTATGCGAGTTCTGCTGAAAAAAAAAAAAAAGTCTTGACACATTACAAATGCCGTTAGCATCTCAAGTTTAACGTTCCAAAACCATGATGTGATCATGAGGGACGCCTTAGTCGAGGGTTCCGGAAATTTTGACCAATTGGTGTTCTTTAACGTGCAATGACATGGCGCAATACACGGGCCTCCACCATTTCGCCTCCACCGAAGTGCGACTGCCACGGCAGGGATCGAACCCACAACCTTCGGGTCAACAGCCGAGCACCGAACCCACTGATCTCCCGTGGTGGATATTGCAAGGGTGTGACTCAATATAGTCAAAGGAATCACCGTAAGAAAGGAAGCTACCAAGAAACACTGACATGCAGAGAAGAGGAGCTTGAAAAGGAAAGCACTGTTTGTACATGTCATGTATGTCATCTCCCCGTACCCAGGTTGCTTAACAGCACGCAAGGAAACCCAACCATCTTGCACCTCTTGCCTTGTTAGCATTTTAACAGCTTGCTATTGCACGTCGCTGCACACATACCACTATCTGGTGTGGAGGCGCCGGCTTGAGGCGTCAGCGGAGGTTGTGCGGAGTGTTCCAGATCCATCTCGTAGGGGGTCGGAGAACGCTCCAGTTGGGTACCACAAGGCGGAGTCTGGCCACTGCTGCCAGCCAGCGGCAGCAAACTAGGCTTCCGTGATCGCACCCTGGGCCGGCCAGGGAAGCTGTGACTGGAACTGGCCCAAACACAACTTTTTAGTCGCCTATGTCGCTTGAGCTCGAGGACCGTACTCGCACGAAAACCATCCATGAACGTGGCTAATGAAGAGAAGCGTGGCTAATAGAAAATAAAAACAAAGAGCTTTCTTCCCGACTTGTGTACACTATCACAAATAAAGTTGCCGTGTAATGAACACAAAACGATTACAAACTTACATGATGCGGTAACTCCCTGTTTCAAGAGCCACAGGTGTGCAACGTGAAATAACACGAGGTAATTAGAAATGAGTAAACAATACTGGGAACATGAAATTAGAACAGACAAGTTCTGCCATTTCACGGTGCACCTCCTTGTTTTACTAGCATCAATACTAGAAAAGCCACGAGCGACAGCAATTAGCACCTACTGTCACCAATGATGCATTTTCAAACTAAATTACGGCACTCGTGATTTAAAAGAAGCAAACAAGCACAATTTTGATAAGGTAGAACTGTTTAATATTGAAATGAACACTAACGTGCACCAAAGATGGAATTCAAACTGAGGGTCACCAATTACAACGCTTTGGTGTGAAGTCCCAAAATGAGAATGGCACAGCGACGGAAGCTACTTTTTACTTTTTGGAGCCCCGTTTGGAGCAGAAAAAGTACCACTTAGGAGCAGCCAAGAGTGTTTTCGTATCGGGAAAAATGCCAGTCTGGAACAGCTATTGGTGTTTTAGGAGCAGATTGGAACATATGTCCTACAACTCCTAGAATTCAAAGCGTCACTCATGAAGCATCACCTAAATATTGATAATTATTTTGAAAGATGTTTTACAGCTTATAATCCACATAAATTGTACGAAACAAACAATTAGATTGCTTATTGAATGCCTGGGGTAGGAGCTATATATTTAAAATACAATCTTGGTTCTTTTAGTTACCACCGAAATAGCCTGGAATGTAAAATTGAAGATAGCTAAATGATCTGAAAGCTTTATATGCCAGTTCTTGTTGCACAAATAAAAGTTTACAACGTTGCATATTAACATGCTAGGATCATAGTATACACCTTCTTCTTAGCATTTTGGTGGCTTGAAAACTGGTAACACAGTTGAAGTTGCTTGTCTTCATTTCCTCGGTGCCATTTTGGAGCAAGTTCGGACCAGCTGCTAAGTTACTAGTTACTAAGGACCAGTGACTAAGTTACACAATTTGGAACAGCATGTCGCAGCAGTTTGAAGCTATTGGAGCAGCACTTCCATCACTGGTGACATGTGTACCGTTGGCAGCTCTGTTTCACTTAAAAAAAATGAACTTTACTTAACAGATAAGTGTGAGGGCTCATTGTTTATGAAGAGGGCTTGACATAACACACACATCTTATCACAAAGCAATTCAGCAGTCTCTAAGGGTTTCTGAATTCATGACATCGTTAGAACTACTCCATTAACAAAAACGTCAAAACAATAAATATTTCGATAGAGCTATTTTGCAATATGCGGAGTACTCCTGAATTGAAACACGAAAACTTTAGTATGACTAGTGCACCTATACTTTGTGGCATCTAGGATGATAGCCGCCCAAGGAGCACACGGAGACAGTCGTGCCATAGGCAAACCAACACATGTACATTTAATCAACTCTTTTTACATGACAAGAATATCCTCAGCCAAATGAAATACATCACTAATGACAAGCTTGAGAACTTTTTACAATATGCCAATACAACACACAAACAACACAACAAACACTGGGTACCCCAAACGCGACGTTGCCTACATTCGACTCGCCGCGAGAACTGCATGGGAAACGACCCACTGTGTCATCCTCAACGAGCCCATAGCAGGACACGTCCGTTGACGCACGCTGCCAAACCCCAAGAGACTCACTGCTCTTTCCCATGCGCCAGCCTAGCCTCTCTGCCGCCACACTAACCATAACCCGCGTGAGCACAGTGCTACCTCTCGCTCAGCTGCTGTTAAACCTAAGCCCAGGTAATCTCAGATACGCACGCACACTACGACGTGCAAACCACTAATGGCACCCCCACATCTTTTGTTAGCAGTGGCTACAGTTCACTCAATCAGCATAATTTTGACTCCAACCATCGATCAAAGCGGACATTACTCACCTACAGCTACCAGATTTGCGGTGATATGATGATGTTGTTATCACGTAATTAAAAGGTGTTCTAGGAATCGTTGGTGCATGGCTCGACAAAGATTTTTGAAGTACAAAGAGACGAGGACAGAATACGATATCACTGTCATTTCCTGTCATCATTTTTTGGTGCCTCCAAAACTTTTGTCAGTTGTTATCATGAGCAATCGCTCATAGCAGTGGTATAGGCGAAAATTTGTCTCAGTGGGGGCATGTTCTCAATCTGAAGTGGGGACGGTGCAGGCAAACGTGGTCGAGTATCACTGAAATTTTGGCAGGCGCACGTGCCTAGTGTGCCACCTCCTGGCTACACCCACTGCCTCATAGCAGTAGTTATACAAAAACAACATTACGGTGCAATCCGTGAGTAATGCATGACTTCAAAACTACATCTAATGTGGCACGACCAGTGCACAAACTTACAGCTTTTTGCGTTGCACGGGACTGCTGCCATCCTTTCGTGGCCTGCCAGGGCCTCGTTTCACAACAAGGGGAGACACAACACCACCACCGTCTCTGATGGGTGACGCCAACGGCACGCCAGGCGTTTTAGGAGAGTCACCAGTCGGCTGTACGGGTGTTCCTGCACGCTTATCTGGACTGCCATCATCATCCGTGGCACCTTTACCCTCGGGAAAACTCTCCCTAGTTCCAGCACCAGTCTGTTCCGAGGTACCGGGCCTTTCGGTCACATGGGGGGACCCTTCTTCTGCGGCACTGCTCTGAGTGCTGTCGGCCACTGCGGGCGAGCAGGCAGTTTGCAGTGCCAGACGAGCAGCAGCACCGTCACTGCTGCCTTCGTCCGTGGGCCTATCCAGTCTTGCTTCCATTTCGACATCGGCCTCGGTGGAGTGTGCCAAGTGCCTCTGGGGAAGCATGTTGTAGGAAACAAGCAATTTTCAGTCACACAAACTCACAAGTTTAAGTAAAAAAATATAATAATAAAGGATCCAAAAGAACACCTTATGAAAATTTGATCACGAGAGAGTAATGAAAAATAGACGATACCCACGAGGTTTTCAAAGGGACCGACAACTGCCCAGAACATGAAATAAAAAGACTCCATAGACAGAAAGATTTTCTATCGCACTTGCTCAAAGCAGCCCCGTTTTTTTTTCATAAGGGGTTGATTTATCTTTTCATTTCTTCATTAAAAGTTGTGAAAAAAGACCAGTGCGCCTCTGGTGGCAAGAACATGAACCAATCTACCTGGCCATGTGACCGCTGTACGCGGTATATGACTTTTTATTAGTGTTGAAATATTGTTCGTTTCTTTATATTAAATGATATTACTCTACAAAAATGTAGCTATATTCCTGTGTTAGTAACTAAGTATGCATTTCAGTGGCGCTGTCTTCGCACGGCATAATGATGCCCTGTTCGTCAGCGCATCTTGAACAACTCTTCAGCGTGCTCATGCAACCATGCACACAGTTTCCAGGTCGCTACGATTTTGGAGCGACACAGTTTTGCTAGCTACACTTCGTCTCAGAAACGACGGGCGCCGCTACTCGGCATGGCCATGCATATGTGCAGCGACATTTTCGTCGACTTCGCTTGGCTTGTGTATCGAAAAAGTAACGACGCCTGGACAAGCCACCAATGACATGGCGCAGGCAACCTTGGGTCGAGGCACAAGCAATGCGGTACAATTACACGGAAGGTGTATAATGCCACATCATCTAATTGTAAACACTAGTTATTTTCAAAAATAGTTGAAAAGCTCAAAATAAAGGTGGTTATGCATAGTTACAGGAACTGCAACGAAATCAGAATGACCGCTTTAACAAATCGCAAGAAGAGCTTGCAAGATCGCTATTAATTCTCAGTGTCGCTCGAAGAAAGGTACATTGGTGTTTGGAGCCCTTCAGATCGAAAAATACTGCTTATAAAATAACTTTGTGTCTCTCGGATTTACTGCAACTACAAACACTATGAAGGGGTGCGCTTTCTGTCGCGCAGTGAAAAAATCAGTTAAGAAAAATCTGTTGTTGGTCCCTCTGAAAGGCTCTAAAGCTAAGAACAGGAGCGTTTGTGCATTGTGTCTCGTCTGGATGCAGTTGTAGCCTACACTAGACTTCTTGCCACCAGGAGCACCTCACCAGAAACGTTGCCTCATAGCGACCTATAGAAACTCAATCTGTTTAGTTTGGTCTCGGTTTTACGAGAATGTAATTTCTCATTTAAAAATTCACTTTGTGGCATTTCAAAGTCACTAGTGAAGCTCGTTATAAGAGGCTATATTCCCCCAAGGGTGAAATGCATCACGTAGGAGAGGAACTCCTCCAGCCTGAATGATACCACTGGATTTGAACCTCGCAGCGAAGGGGACTGGCAAAATGGCAGAAGATACCTTACAAGCCACGCGATCACTGCAAATTTCGAAACCCGCTCTGCCCACGCAGCACTCATACCCCCGCCCCCCTTTTGTCGAGACCTAGTCTAAATCCCTTGGTTGCATTTGAAACCTGCATTACACGGGAGAAGCTACCTCCAAATAGCCAAATAAACATGAGCACAAAGTGGTTAGCAGGAGCTGTTGGTGTGCGTTACGGAAAAAAAAAAATGTGTACAAGCGACAGGAAGTACGCACAAGAACAAAAGGGGGGAAATCTGGTGCATTTAACTGCAAGTTCGTATAAAAACAAATGAAACAGCAACGGATGAGTTCTTTAGATGGTGCAGCACGATTGTAAGATTACATGACGTTACACCTGGCTTTTTTTCTTTTCTGAATACCATAAATTTCCGAGCAAGCACCCCCCTCCCAAATCAGGTCCTTCTCCATGGGGCGGGGGGGAAGAGGCACTTGGAATTTTACGGTAGTACTTTTTCTAAAAGTGCAAATACGATCGCCAGAATATTTTTGTCTCACAACAGATGTTAATTGACATCTCCAGGTTGTCCTATTGGGACCTTTTTATTTCTTATTATTATATATTTCCTGATCTTGCATATTGGTCTATATGTACACCCCGCACACTGCAAAATCGCTATCGACTTCAAAATAAAATTCCCATGCTGAGGCAATCCGAAAAAAATGAACTTGTGAGTATCCCAGCTCGCACTTAACTAGGCTTGATAACAATGTTAGTCTAATTGTCAGAACTGATTTCAAGCCAGCACCATGTCATGATACTGAAAAATATGAAAAAATTAGCATGGCAGTGCCTCACCTAAACAGGCTTTCACTTTGGGTTCCAAACCTTTCACGACAGTACACAGTGGCATAGAGCAAGTTTGTTCAGCCTGCTTGATCACTTTTCAAATGTCACCAACACTAGTGCTAAACAGTATAATATGATAACATAATACAACATATGTCGCACATAAAGGAAGGTCTAAATTGAAGGGCTCGTTTTCTTTGTTAGACATGGTATCATAAGAACAAACAGACTGTCTGTCAATTCTTAGTATACGAAGAGAGGTCACAACAATTTGTGTCTCTTCTGCAGGACTTCTAAGATGCCTCCAGGCATCAAGCTTTCTTGTTTCACTTACTAAAAAAAAAAAACCATTTCTCTGGGTGTTCAATTACAAAACTCAGTTATTATGAATCTTCAAAACACAACTTGCTTATAATAACAAAACTAACCATTCATTATATGTTCAGCCCAGGAAGGCCCAATAGCACATGCAACACATGTATTCAGAATGTAATCCGCAAACTGAAATTTCAGTTAGACCAATTGCTTTCACATAGGAAAAGCGTCTGAAAAAATGGGCAATCAAATTCTTCAGTGGGAGCCATCACAGGACAATGGCTGAAACTGCAACCTGAACACTCTGGGGTCCCAATATGTGAATATTATTTTTTCACTAGTGGTCATTGGTGCAGATGCCCTGCAAAAGGGGCCAGCCAAGCTTGGTGAATGCTACATCTGAGCCAGTGATTGATTGATGTGTGGGGGTTTATCGTTCCAAAAGCACCATATGATTATGAGAGATGCCATAGTGGAGGGTCCGGAAATTTCGACCAACTGGGGTTCTTCAACGTGCACTCAAATCTGAGCACTCTGGCCTACAGCATTTTAGCCCCCATAGAAAACGCAGCCACCTCAGCCGGGATTAGATCCCGCGACCTGCAGGTCAGCAGCAGAGTACCTTAGCCATTAGACCACTGCGGCGGCGAATATGAGCCAGTGAGGACGCAAGCATAATAAATTTGCAAGTGTTTTTCACGTGATACTGCCTTGGCTAGCTCGTATACGAATAAAGAACAGAAGACCTCGAAAAATTTGGAACACAAGTTACTTCAAACAATTAGTCGAAATGCTGATCAACCCAAAATGTCTGTACTAGCGTCACTACATTCAACCTAAGGATCAAATAGAGTTGTAGCGCAACTCAAGCTTTCCAATCACTGAGAAGGGCAACTAGACAACACTGACACAGTTTGCATTACCTTAAATCCATCTATTCGGGCTGCCATATATTTTAACTGACGCAGCAGACTTGGAGACATGAACCTTGTCACAACATTTGCAACTGTATTAAAGGAGTACTCACAAAAGTTCTGTTTTTTTTTATGACAAATGAAAGGCCAAGCCTTCAAGAGCCTAGAAATTGTACTGCAAACCATGAGTGCATCTCAAAAAATATAATTACATTGTTTTTTTTTTATAAACATAGTCTCGGTTCCTACTGTACTACGAGATCACAACACGGTATGAGCTCCTCATCGCATACTCTCGCAAGATGCAACTTTTCCACAATAGTTCTGCATCGTGGCTCCGTTGGCGACGCACAAGCGGCCATATTGAAAGTTTTGATGCTGGACATCACGATTTGCCAGACTGCAGAGTGAAGTCAATGTGGTACTGCAGCCTGACATCAAGGTAGTGTTGATGTCGGTAGGTGTGCTAGGGCAAAAAAATGACTTTAATTTCAAAATAAAATACCTTATGCTGAGCTTCACACTTGCTTAGAGTGGTTTCTGAATACAGGGAACTTGTGTGGCAGAGCGAACGCACATCCAAAAGATCGTGTCGGTACGTCTAAGTTCTGTATTTAAAATACTAAATTATGAGGTAGGGAATAGCTGCCAAGTTGCACCACCTGGAGTTCCTTCAATAGCACCTAATTCCATGGGCACATCCCCCTTTCCCCACCATTAATAGGTGTCTAGCATTGAACCTGCACCTCCGGCAACTTATATATGGGTCAGCTGCCAGCTCGTAATGAGATCACGTGCTACGTAATGCCAACAGGCAAAAAAAAGTGCTCTACACTCGTTGTAATGGCTACTGGCAGCACTGACTCACACTCTCACGTTTAAATGTGCATATATACTCTATAATGTGGACAGAGAAATGACCACCGCCGCAACTCAGTTGGTAGAGCATTGGATGGGTTATTGAAGGTCGCCTGTTTAGTCCCTGCCAGCAGCGATTATATTTTTTTCCACTTTTCTTTCTTCCCTTTTACATTACAATTACCACTAACCTCCCCTATGCTTCCCTTGGCATCCTTGTCTAAGTTTTCATTAACATTGAGTCTATCAAAGAGAAACGAGCTATTGAAATTACATTTATTTTCTTCATATATCCGGCTGCTAATTTGAACATATCTGACCACGCTGTACACCGTGCATATATAGTAGACAAGAGAGTACCCACATTGATGCTAGATCATATTCAGTGCATGTTCATTAACCCATATATGCCCAAACTTAGGAAAATCAACAAAACTAATTTATTTCCCCAAAATGATTGCTTCTACGACCTCGAAAAACAAAATAAGGCTTTTATTTAAAAAAAAAAAACGAAAAAACTCTTCAGAACTATGGTTTTGGAGCCGCCCTATATGTAGGACACCAACGTTTGACACACCGTGAACAAAAAACACTAGCGCCTATCACTGCCATACGAAAGTTACTGCACACCTAATAACTGTCGAACAATCAACAAAAATACCAGTAGCATCGAGAACAATTTGACTCTATATCACTTATATATATATATTTTTTTCGCGGTATGGTGCTCAGCTACAGGCACGCGAAATAGCCATTTTGTGACTGCACGCACGTGGCTATTTGTAACCCAGCGATCACCTAGACTTGCATGTGACGAGGGCAAGGCATCATAAACACATCTTAGGTGGTGCTACCTTTTTTACAGAAAAAAACATTTGTGTTACACTGAAAAGTTTCAGCATCCTACATGTAGGAGACTGGGCATATATGGGTTAAATAAGCTAGGAAGGCAATGCCCACTGATTTATAAGACTATGAGTGTTAGACAATGTCCCATTCAAAGGGACACTAAAGGCAAACATTGTCTATGTTTATTGCTGAAATAGCGGTCTTGAAACCTCATGATGCCACTTTTGTCCGAGGAAGTGTTTATTTTGAAATAAAATCATGTTTTAGTGGTCTGCATGGCGTTAGCACAGTTCAAATAAATCTGCTTGAAAGTCGTCCATCTCGCGTCATCGTTGCTATGCATAATGTGGCCCGGCTTTACTGCGTGGCCGCCGACACTGTGTTGGTGGCCGAATAGTGGAGCGACAATAGCGGGAGCCACAGCAGCAACAATAGTGATTGAACAATTTTCTGCCATGGCCCCCGAGATGGCGGGCGTACTTGGTTCAACTGGGCCCCACTAGATGTCACGACCTATTCAGTTTAACTTGGTGAAAATAAAACTTTTGAAGCACTCGTGCCATTCACACACTGCAACTCCCAGCGGTTCTTTTTTATATAATTGAAACAAAAATGGACAGACAAGCAGCATTTTGTTACACCTCTTGAGGCACGAAAGGTTGTTTTTTTATTGCAGCTTCTTTGATTACTAGTGATTAATTGTAGTTGGTCGCTCTCAAGTCATCGGCATCATTTCTAAAATAACCCATTCATGGGGCCTATCGTGTGGTACATTTCGATTATTTCTTGGTAACTAGGGCACAGCTGTTATAATAGTGCTGTTTTAGATGTCATACATTGAGCTTTCACTCTCACATAGATTGTTATTTGCCTTAAGTGTCCCTTTAAGTGGAAGGGATATCGAACTCGCCAATCAATACACAACAGTCACCCATAATGCGGTTTTTAAGCATACCTGTTGCAATTCTGCTTTAATTCGACCTTTCTTTTTTCACATTTCAATGATTATCTTTAAAATTCCACACTGCTAGGTCATGGCAGCCTTCCGTTGGGTTTACTAAAATTGTTATTGTGAGACTACCGAAGCTATATTGGGCAATCCAAAATGGCATGTGCGGAATGCTCTTTGGAGGAATTGTGCTTTTTCACGCCAATGCCCCCCCATCACACTACCATAGGAATTATTTTGAATAGAAACTTTGCACCAAGCGATTTTTACCGTTCCCCTAACTGAAAGAGTTTCCGGGTGGTAAACGTTTTGGAAGTGATAAAGAGCTAGACAATGCAGTGACCGCCTAGCTTAAAGGAGTACTGACACAAAAACTTTGGGCCTCGTGCTTTCCTGCTGCAATGTGTCGCTGGGTACCTGTTAGTCATAACACGACACATCGTTTACTGCAGCATGAGAAAGATAATTAATTACAGATGCCTCATCATCGACCAGTTTCAGTTTGAGAGAGCTCCAAAATGGAGAAGCCGCCGGTCTCAGCTATCCCCACCTAGCCTGTGCAGCTCTCGACCACATTAGCACACAGAACTGTGGCACATTTCCGCACTGTCCGCATCAAGAATCACTTTTGAATAGAAAACGGGACTGCAGTGTCACTAAACACCAAACTTTAAAAGCGAATGCTATGGCCACGCACTCACGACCAGCCGCCAGGAAGCACAGACTGTGGGAACAAAACGCAGCGAAATAAAAATGCCGGTTATGATGTAATCATATCTTTTTTTTTTAAATGCAGTGTTGTGACAAGAGGGAATTAGGGTGTCCCGAAAGGGTCCCCCTTGAGAGTGCCAATGGCACAATAGAGTCGGGGGCTCTCACAAACTTCAAAATTAATTTAAGATGCCTTCCAAGCTATATTCGCTATTGATATTTTGCAGATGGTATTTAAATACTCAAGGGAATACACCCCACAGGCTATCTCGGCCACGAAATTTTGTGTCAATACAACTTTAATGAACTGGAGGCTGACAAGCATAATATGGGAATTCTGAAGGTCATGACCAGATACAACAAATGTTTAAATGTGGGAGGTGATGGTGTAGAGAGTGAGGGAAGCTTCATGTGTGTAAGTGAATAGCTTCCTTGTATAACTAAATTACTTTTATTTTCTGAATGACCCTTGTGAAAACGAATGCGCAGCCTGCCCTAGCCATTCAGTGTGCATAAACACGCTGAAAATAAGCTTTACCATGAACCCCAGGAAGAACTAAATGCATGCCTATGACCCTCACATAAACATGCATGGCTATTGGTGATAACTCATTTGCACATGGCATAACAAAAAGCCATCATTAGTCAGTAATTTCATTGTGGCTTGGCGAGTGCTCTCTGTGCAAAGTACGCCAGCTACTGTAACATTTCAGTCATCTGTTTAAGCCAAAGTTGAAAAAAGGCTGCAAAGGTGCCACTAAAGTGTACCAATCAGAACTAACAGACAATGATGGCAAGGAAAGTAATGGAGATATTATCAGAATTGTAAATGTCCAGAAAGAAAAATAGACGAAAAGATAACTTACCGTCAGTGGGAACCAAACCTGCAACCTTCGAATAACGTGTCTGATGCCTAACCAATTCACTACGCCAACGGTCATCCCTCTATCCACTTTATATACCCTATATTAGGCACTTAAACGTGGGAGCATCTCAGGTGTACTGCGACTCAATGTCAGCTCCAGTAACCATAAGAAGTTCCCATGTTCGGGTGCGGGTGACTGCCCAATATTGAAGAAGTTCATGAATGGAACATATAGCTTTAAACTATCTTATGCTCCTTAACACTTCTCAATATTGGCTTAATCCCTTGATCTCAAACACAGAAATCAAGGTCAGGAAGCTTTTCTACTATTTCGAAACTTCTTCATAACTGTTCCAAGCAATACTCAAGTGAATATGTATACGTACAATAAATACAAAGCACATTTTGCACTGAAGACCCTTACAACGAGCTGGCATCGTAAAAATAGTCTGCTGGTCTATGTAATCGTTCACAGATGGCCAACAAAAGGCACAACTAACGTGAAGACAAAAGAAGAAAGGAAAAGTCAGGCCTGTGCACACTTGGAAAACAATGAGGGCCGCAACAACAAAACAATTTGAGACGACTAAAACGGAAATTGAGGCGTAAATTTACGAAACATCAGATAAGTTTCGCACTTCAAAAACACAGATATCTACATGGCAGGTTATTTTAGTACAGGAGCTAACCGTGGCATGCGCAACTCAACAAGCTTTGTTTGAACTACCTCCATACAGATTATCACAACATAGCGACGCGACACTTACAAAACAAGAAAAATAGTTGGGTCGCAGGTGTGTTTTTTTTTTTTCTTTAACATTGCTCGCCGACACGGCGCACATTTAGTGCTTTAGAGGTTTCTTTGGGTACGAAACGCGGCTGCTGTAGCTTCTCCTAACGCACTATGCATTGAGAAACACACACACACATTAAAACATTGAAAAAACGGCGGCTCAAGGACTTTGATTACGTGCTTATCAACTCGCGCATGCGCCATTTTTTTTTTTTTTTTTGACAGGAAGAAAAACTAAATCAGCTGTTTTTTTTTCGCTCGATCGCCACTTGGGAGTGGCAGGACTCTACAATCACCAGCTCGTAGCAGATCGCGCTCTTGCAATATCCAACACGTACGCAACCATCTCATTTCGCAACGGTGCGACTTCGATACCGGAAAAAAAAACGGGGTGTCCAAAAAGACGCTCAGCACATCAAATGAGGCAAGCGCCTTATTTCTGACCCTGAACGGGACTTTTAAACTAGTGTCCGTGCACCAACTTACTGCGCGCGGAAAATAAAAAGTTCTGCGAAGAAGAGACGGTTATGGTAATTAGCTTAGTGCTCGTTAATTAGCCCCCCTGCCTCGAACAGGGCGAAAATGTGCGAGAGAAAACGCATCGCAAGGCGTCGCACGAACTGTCAGAAAGAAAAACTTAAGCCGCACTGAAGATAAAACTTGCGAAATGAACGCGCTGCCACAGGGTGTAAGAAAAGCCGGACGAAGTGGTCAATATGATCGTGCATGGCGGTGCCCCTAAAAGCGTGCTTCACCCGTGGCCCCCGAATTATGCGCGCCACGGGCTTTACGCAGTAGGACGGCGAGTAGGAAGTGAAATAAATACACATAAACACTGCCATGCGCTACGTTACTACCGTCTACTAGTGTGAACACCCTGGAAATGCGGCATACTGACGCGAAGTGCCCGACGGGTCGCAAACAATCGAGCAAGCAAGTCGTCCTATGGTTGGTTGCTGGTTGGCGTTGCACAGAAAAGGGACTGAACTTTCGCGTCATAGCCCCAGCAGTCTAGCGGGCATGCACTTATTAATTATTGCGACTAGTACGGCAGCCTGTCCGACGCCATGCGTGGTGCTAGACGGACGGGACCTTAGGTTTCGGCCATGATGCCGACACAGAGGCCCGGCCGTGGAAGAAGACTTGACGGAAGCCGCCACAGCACAACAGCACAAAAACCGATCGCGCTTCAAGCACTCACCGGGCAGTGTTGCGGTTAGCGCGAAGACGCCCAACATTTGTCCGTGATTGTGTACAACACAAGGCGCCCTTGAATTAACACGACGAAACAACAAAAATATTTTCTACTACAAACACTACAAACGCTGTTCACTGGATAAGTACGCCATGTTAGCGCCAGCAGCGCCAACTTTCCGACTGGGCGGCCGATTTCGAAACAGCGTTGCCAGCAGCTCGAAGCGAGCTGCGGTGAATGCGAAAGAATTCATGGAATTCTCGTGCAAAAATACCGTCACATTATTGTCGTGCAGCTCTAATATCGTCACTCCAGCCTCGTTTGATTAGGCCTAATAGCTTTCCTGCGAGTTTAGGCATGCAATTAGCACTAAAACACTTCACTGGGCTCAGATTAAATGCGTGATCGGTTGTACAATTATGCACTGTGAACAAAATAACAAACTTACTTGAAATATTTTGTGATGCTTAATTTAAACTGTTGTATGACAATTTTTTTTTTGTCGTAGAGTGAACAAAAATGATTCCGATTCTAAAACCACAGCAAAACAGCTTCAAGAACAAAACAGTCGAAGAAGGAAAACGCTCTGACTTATGATTGGTTGGTAGGTTTAAAAAACCTCTTCTATTCGTCATTTGTTATGTAAAAGTTGCTTTCAGCCAATGAACAACAGTGACGTCACAAAGTGTTTCAATGAGTTAAGACAACAAAACTGAACACACCCTACGAAGCTCGTCTGGTCCGAACTCCCGTTGCTCAGCTGCTTGACGTCTCGTGACTCGACGAGGTTCCAAGTGCCGTTACGGTAGTTTACGGCTTACATCAAGCCATGGCCGCAAGAGGAAAGCTCATTGCTATCATAGGGGACGAGGTGAGCCCGCAGACGTCGTCAGCACGCTTCTAAAAGAGGTGTAAAAGCGTTGCCGAAAGTCGTTTCTCCTTTGCATCTGCTTTGTCGTGTGTCACTTCCCGACGTCGCTCCATCGCTTTCATGACTAGTTTAAGTATATTATCAGCAAACACTCGAATTTAAGTCCGCAAAGTATCTATGGTTTCGCTACCCCTTAAAATTATAAGTTGTATCCCGCGCGAATGCGTCAATATCTGAATAATTTGCTCACCTAAATAACGATTCTTGATGTTGTAGGACACCTGTGTAGGATTTCTTCTCGGAGGGATTGGGGAGATCAACAAGCAGAGGCAGCCCAACTTCAAAGTAGTCGATAAGAGTGAGTTTTGGCATTCTCGCGGACCGTTTCTTCGTTGGGGAACGTCGCACTGAATGACCCATCTCTTGCTTTCAGATACCAGTGTGTCTGAAATAGAAGACTGCTTCAAAGGTTTCGTCAAGCGCGGAGATATCGATATTATACTGATAAATCAGAACGTAAGCTTGCACGTACACCTCGTACACTGTGGCGTTGCATTGAATGCGTGCTGTCCGGCCTTTTCTTGCAGATTGCCGACATGATCAGGCATGCGATTGACAACCACACTCAGTCAATACCAGCAGTTCTGGAAATACCATCCAAGGATCAGCCATACGACCCAAACAAGGACTCCATCCTTAGGCGAGCGAAGGTTGGTGTCTGATATTGAACCTGTGTCGCCACAGTTTCATTGATGGTGTAAAATTAGTGTACTGACCTACGGAAGTGGTGCGTTAAGAACAGAATTGGCTTAAAACGTCGCTTTTTTTTTTTTTCAGGGGATGTTTACAACTGAAGATTACAAGTAGCACATCTTCTTTTTCTTCCCTGTGCTTTACAATAATCAAGAAATTCCTTTCCATTCCAAAGAAAGTGAACCCTGTTGGAATCTGTTGTAAATGTTGTATGTATTAAAGTATAATAGTGACTACCTTGCCTTTGCACATGTTAGCATCGAAGCCAGTTGGTTACACAGAACATCACATATGCCAGGTATGGACATGAGAGGGGGGGGGGGGGGGGCTGCCTTTTTGTACCCTTGCATATTTTATAAACAAATAAGCAGATATAGTCAATCTAGTGCAAAAGTTCCCCAGCTTCATAGCCGCTGAAGCATTATTGCCATGACGTTCGCTTATGTTTTAACCGAAGCTTGGGTGAATTTGGTTATGGCTCTCTCCCTGGCAATGCCTGTGGTAGTTGGACCATGCCTATATTATTTTTTCTGCATCTTCTTTTTTGTCAATGTGTATGCAAGGCTTAAAAAAAAAGCCGTCGCTGCAAATGTTGGGCTAACTTTGCTTGTACAGCTCCCTAGCAGGGTGGCCTTGTGTGCAAGGCGTGGCATTCTGAATTACCTGCACTATTTTGCAATAAGTGTATTTTACGTTGACTGCCACTAGAAAAACAATGCCAGATTTATGCTTTGTTGTCCAGCTGCCCTTGCATGAAGAACACACGCAAATTTTAGTGGAGTGAAAACTTATGCATGCTTTTGCTATTAAAACATACAAGATGAAGCTATTATGGGTATTTTTGTAAATCTGTAGTCTACTAAGAAATCCTTGAAAGGTTATTCTGCAACAGTGTGATGATAGGCTCAACAGTGCCAGTAACAAACGTCACACAAGTCTCGATTAAAGGGGTACATTGACACAAAAACTCTGGCCTCGCGTTTTTCTGCTGAAGTGTGTTGCTGGGGGCCTGTGTGTCATAACAGGACATATCGTTTGCTGTAGCATGCAACAGATAATTACAGGCATCTCATTATCGGCCACTTTCGGTTTGAGAAGGCTCCAAAATCGAAAAGTCGCCGGGTTCAGCTATTCCCACCTAGCGTGTGCAGCTCTCGACCGCGTCAGCACAGAGAACTGTGACACTTTTCCGCACGGTCCGCATGAAGAATTACTTTCCAATAAGAAACAGGACTGCAGTGTCGCTAAACACCAAACTTTCAAAGCGTATGCCACGGCCACGCACTCGTGACCAGCCGCCAAGATGTCCAGACTGCGGGAACAAACATGACAAAAGAAAAATTGCGGCTATGATGACATCATAACTTGTTTCATTGACTGCAGCGTGGTGACGTGAAGGGAGTAGGGGGTCCCCAAAGGGTCTCTTTCGAAGGTGTCAATGGCACGATGAAGTCGATCGTTCGTGCGAACTTCGAAATTAATATACAATACCTTCCAAGCTATATTTTGCAAATGATATACGAATGTTCACAAGAATCGGACCTCGCAGGCTATCTCAGGCGCGAAATTTTGTGTCGGTACCCCTTTAACATAAAAGCGCTTACAGTGCCTGACTTAACTGGCTGCATACTGACCTGTAGGTATACCTAAACTAGCACCATGGTCGTTGTGCTCCTAGATCCTTTCGTCACCTCTGCAGTGTTTTCTACAATGTCCCACATTGAGATGAAGGACACATTGCAATGAGTAGCTCTGAATTTGTTGGGGCCATAGCTGCAAGATTCAGTTAAAGCTACGTAAATTAACTGCACAGGGGTGTAGAAAAAAAAGTTTCAGTGCCTGCCAACAGTGATTTCCTGTGAATTCAGGCAATTGCACAGTGGCTCAAAGAGCAAGAGAATATTCTCTTGCCCTTTCTCTTGAATATTCTCTTGCCCTTTGAGCCACTGTGTCCTTTTAACAGGTGAATACATTGCAGCTTAAAAGTAAGAGGCTCAAAGTAATTTTTGGGCTTATGAGGCCTGCCTCATTGTGATACAAGATTTTTTAACCAACTTCAAAATAACAATTTTAACTGTCTCCATTCAAAATGACTGTAAGAACGAGTCTTTCACAGCCCTAGCCAGCAATATTTTTTGGGACAGGTCTCAACCATACTTTATGCATTCGTATGTGTGCATGCATATACACTTGCAAAACAAACTTTTTCGTGGGTGGTTGGGGGGGGGGGGCTCAAGACTCTTTTCTCTTGGCCATGCCGGCGATGAATTCAGTTATGCCTAGCTAGTGTGACTGCATCTCTGATCTAGCAGTCAGCTGTGCTTCTCCACCTGTGCCGCTCCTGGGTGTTTCCCAGGCCTCCTGTCGCACTATCCAAATGCACTCGGGTTGAAGTTTGCTTTGGAAAGGAAAAGCACAAAGTTATTCAGCAGAGTGATGAATTTATATATATACAAACAAACTACATGGACAACGACATGGTGATGGTAAGTAAAGATACATCATCCTTCAGCAGCTTCTTAGAACTGCACACACTGTAGCCTTGGCCACGACTGGGCTTATACATGGTGTGTATCCAGCAAGCTTCAGTGTCTGCATAATGCTCTTCAACCTGTGAGCAGGAAAAAAAAGGCAAGTTTGAGAGTTGTGCAAGTGCATTCGCGTTGATTATGAGCAGAATAATGTGGAGACTGAGTTGAAACGAAAAATGAGAAAACTCAATACTGGGATACTCTTCTTTTACGTGTTATTTACTGACAATACATCAACCTAACCTGGTCTGAAACACCGATGCCTAGACTCTGTGAAACGCTCGACCCCTTTGCATCTACTGATGTAAAGCTTTCTGCGCACGATTGTGACAGCTACAGTAATCTGGCTTCTCCTTACGGCACCTGCGCTGAGGTCTGTGTAGCTACGCAGTGACACAAGAGATTGTGCAAATTATCCCACAGTGATGCCGCCTGACAGATTGGTTTCTAAAGCACTATAGAAACTAACGGGTTTCCTACTCATTGTCTTGAAGGTCACGTGTTTGATGCCAGCCGCAGCGGCCGCATTTTTGATAGAGCCAAAATGCTAGAGACCTGTGTACCGTGCAATGTCGGTGAGATCACGTTGCTGTTTTGAGACTTCAAATCCCAGATATTATCATTGCTCTTTATCTTGGGGCGGATGTTCTGAGTAGTGAAAGAGAAGCTCCGCAAGGCTGTTCCACGGGTGTCTTCCTGTTCCCTTGAATACACTTCCATTTGAAAGATTGGATACGTGAAAGACAAGGGCAATGCTTTCTGGCAGCGGTAGTAAATATTACTTGCTTGATACCTTAGGGCAGTGAGACAAACTTCCTCAATTCTACTATGTGTTTCACTAACATGCTGTAATGAGCCTTTTACTGGTGCAAACAGCGCCTCCAACGGAGTTCGGCAAAATAAAAACTGGTGGCCCTTGGCCAGTGAAATTGTCTATCGAGCACGAGTAGGATATCTCTGAGGCCTGCATTTGCACCTTTCTTTGGGTGAGACATTTGT